CTGAGGATTTTGAAAACGTGGTTGTCTTTTCATATGTTGCCTTTCAAAAGTGGCTGGGTTGTAACAGTTGCATTAGACTGCCTTTTGTCTGGGCAGCTATTGTTCCTATAGTCAGTTCACAAAGGATAATCGGCTCAGCCTTCTCCCACTTCCAACTCTTGTAGACCCTATCTGACCTCTTTCCTTCCTCCCCCTCTCTGCTCCCTACAGGTTCTCTCCCAGAGATTCTCTGCAGCTTCCCAGCAGCAGCACTGGGCAAAGTCCAGCCCAGCAGGGCTGAACGGGGTTGTCAGATGGATAAATCAAGGTCCACAGTTTGGTTGATTGAGCTGAACATTTTTGTGAAGAAATGACAGCTCAATACCCCAGTAATGAATGTGTTCCCAACCTTGTCCATGGCTGATAGCATGTTAGCACTGAGGAGACTGCATTGCCTTTTGGTTCCCCTCAAAACATTCTGTTTTTATTTGAAATGCTTAATTTATTGAAATTAATGCATAAGGATTTTACAGGCAACATCCTGCCTGAAACCACATGTTGGAGAAGGCTGAAATAGAAGACACTTAGGGTTGGGGTTAGTCTGACACACAGGAAAGAAGGAAAAGAGTTGTTGCCAACTTTCAAAATTTTGTGTCTTCCAGCTTGGATATCAGACTGGGCCAGGTACCACTGAATGTATCCTTCAGTTCACTACTCGTACTCACCTAATTCTAAAAATTGTTAAAGAACAAGTTTTTGAAAATGACCAAGCTCCTTCATTTGTTATCTTGTTTCTCTGTCTGCCATTGGATGTACTGGGGTGTCATAACCAACTATCTTGCCACAGAAGCATTCTAAATTAAACATCAGCTTAGAATTAGGTGCTTAGTATGAGCCGAGATGTCCTGGTTGTCCTGTGACTGATAGTCTTGAGTTCGACAATCTGCCAGCTGTAGACATGCAAATTCTGGTTCAACTTTTGCTCTAAGGATCATGAAACATTTCTGTTTTGTGTAGGTGTGCCTCCATTTCTGAAGACAAATGGGAGGCAGGAATCTCTCCTTGGATGGTCACTGCAGGGTTTGGGACTTATCCCACGCCCCACATTCCTGCTTGACACAGCAATAATGTAAATGCAGTGGTGAGTTGGGGCAGCATTTGGAAGAACAGGCACAGGCCTCAGCTTGCTCAGGAAGCTTCATCCTTTCTTGCTGTCATTTGCACTCCAGTGCTCTACCACTGTTAAACCACACCAGCTGTCCCCAGGGTGAGACTCACCCTTTGTGGTGTTGTGTTGCCACCTTACAGCCAGCTTCACTGTATTTATTCCTGCCTTTGTTACCCCACTAAGGTTGTCTGTGAAAAGGGACAACATTTCTTCCCCAGCAGTTTGGGGAGATTTCTCTCTGTGCCTCCTGCCTCAGGAGTTAAGCAATTGCAGTTTCACTGGGTGTAGAACTCTGCATGACCAGTGTGAGGGATTTTTCAACCTCAGCATCCTGCTGCACTGCACCAGAGCCTGCCACCAATTAACACGGGAGAACAGTTCCAGACACATGCATTTGGTTCGGCAAATGCTGCTTGTTTGTTGGGTGATGATGTTTTTCTAAGTTTACACTTTATTTGTGGCATGAGTGACATTTCTGCAAGAGGTAGTGATGTGCCTCTAAGTCTTGTGCTTTTATTTTTTTAAAAAAACTTTTTTTTTTCTCCTCTATTCTGATTTTGCAAATATGCATCAAACAGCAGGGTATGTTAGTTTAGCTTTGTATGAGCAAAAGTGCAGCAATAGCCAGGGACTTATACATTAAACTGAAGTCATATAGTCACTAGTTTTTTTGAAATAATATGTCTTTACCATAATTAAATAAATAATTTTGATTTTCTTAGTCCTTAGTGGGCAAGGATGGGATAAATCTCATTTTTAAATTTAATATTAGGTCATTAATAATCCAACACTAATCTGACACTGATAATCACTACATTGCAGTCATCATCATTAAATTACTCATGGAACTTAAATACAGCTTTTAAAATATAGAAATATGAATATTTAAATAATTCCAGGATCACTATGTACAATATCACCTTGTCTACAAGACAATTTTATAATTGCTTTGATTCCCTTTGATCACAGAAAGATTGCAAACAGCTTTCAGGAGTTCATAACATTTCTTTGTCAATATTCCCACGACTAGGACTAAATTGCTTCCACTGAAGATGTTCAGTGGCCCAAATGACTGCACTTGAATTCTGATTTTTTTGGATCTCTCATCCAAACATCTAATTTTTTTTGTTGTTGTTTCTTTTTTTTTTTCTTTTGTCCTGTTTTCATATTGACAATGGGAGAATAGGTAAGCTTCAGAAAAAAATAAAAATAAAAGGACCATATATTTCATCATGTTACCCCAAAATAAGCTATTATGCATAATTAAAAGAATAAAACTATGTCTTTTTTCAGTGTCCCAAAAATAATACATTTTTTTTTAAACCCTTGCATCACAGTTTTGTACTCCTGTGGGAATGTAAGTGATATCAAGAGTAGCATTTTTTTGAGTGCAGCTGCAGTTATCGTTAAAAGAGATAAACATTTGAAGGAATTTTGATATTTCAGCCATGTTTTGATTTAAAAAGTCTCTTGTGAGAAATACACAACTATGCCAAGAAAATTATAGATGATTATTGATTGGTATTTCCTCATTTTTATTATTATTATTTAAAAAAAACTGTAAAACATATTCAGTTTTTAATGTTTAAGGGATAATATCATAATAAGCTGAAAATTCATATTCAGTTGCTGTGAATCACAATAATTCCCTATGGAACAAGATATCTAACATGCACACTTACATCTGAGTATGGACAAGTTACTTTTCTTTGATTGTTGTATCATTTATATCCTTAGTCTATTTTGGCTATAAGAGTATTCATTAAAGCTCACTGCAAAACTGCTTTTACATTGGCAGCCAGAAATTTGGATCAAATACATTGAAAGACATACATAAAATCTGAGATACTACACATTCACATATTGCAAAGGAATACAGCGTATACTCTCTGTCTGTTTAATTTTCCTTACTTAGTAATATGAAAGTATGGAAAAATAGGATTCTAAGAGGCTAGAAAGTTATTAAATACTTAGAAGAACTGCTTTAAGCTTTCATTGATTTCAATGAGAAGTGAAAAGAGTTACCACACTGGAAAAGGTGTTCAATAGCCTCAAAACAATGAAATCTGTGTCTTGCATACAAGATGAGAGATTAAAATGTAGCAGAAAGGGTGCTAATGTGATATTGAGAGGTTCCATATTCATTGTGAGTCCTGGTTTATCTGTTAGATTTGCTTTTTTATAACTTCAGCTGTGTTTTAGCCAAATACAAGTCTCAAAACTTCACTGACCGACACTTCAACAACAGGCAGAAGTATAAAAATTGAAGGAATTGAAGCTTTACCAAAATCCCTTATTTTGCCATTCTCCCAAAGAAAAATCTGGAGGCTCTCAGAAGGCATTTGCCAGCATTTGCTTTTAATCTATCTCTAGCTTTCTTTAGATTTTCTTTTAGACTATCCTATCCTTCCTTCCTTCCTTCCTTCCTTCCTTCCTTCCTTCCTTCCTTCCTTCCTTCCTTCCTCTCTCTCTCTCTCTCTCTCTCTCTCTCTCTATTTCTCCCTCTCTGAATCATATTCAAGTAATTTATCATATTAATAAATCTGCCATCCATTCATCTAAGAAACAATACAGTTTAACTGTATTGTGTTGTTGTTATTGCTTTTTTTTTTTTTTTTTTTTTTTTTTTTTTTTTTACCTGAAGACAGAGTGGATTCAGACACTATACCTGCCAAACTTGGAGGGATTTTGGACATGGGTTCCAGTTTTCACCAGTTCTAGTGATTTGTGGATCTAGATTCAGACATTCTAACTTTGGACATGCTAGTATTTTCTTAAGCATTTAATATTTGGGAGTCAAAATGTCATATTGGCATGGAGAAAATATAGACATGCAGTGCAAAAGTTTGTGGAAGAATGTGGTTTCATTACAGTTGCTTAACAAGTTATTGCACATCGGATAAAGTAATAGTCTGTCCATGCACTTTAGCTTTCCCAGAGTGAGGTAAACATCCATGTGCTCCAGAGATTACTCATTAAATGAAGCATTATGCACTCAGTACTCAACAGTACTGAGAAGTCTCTGCTCTCCTTCCTTTATTTTCTACTTTAAAGAGAAATTCACTCTGCATAAGAGTAATTTTAATTATGTGGTTTGTTCTGTGTATATATTGGATATTTTTCAATTGCTCACGCAGACTATAGACAAATACATACATAAGTGTGCACACAATATTTTCCTTGCTATAATTAGGTATTTTTGGCACTTTGCAATAGCAGGTCCAAAGCCAAATTCTAGGTACCTTTGGAAAATCTTAAAAGTAGCTGTAATTGAAAAAGGAGGTGTGATATTTCTGTTTTAAAACTTAATGAGATTTTTTTTTTTCCCAGAAACTGTTATGTTTTCCATCACTGTTTCAATATAAAGTTTTGATGAAAAAGTCACAGAACTTTTGAATGTGTGCATTTTTTGAAACATCCCTGAAAACCACTACACAATGACAGGAATGTCATCGTATTATTACGATCCTCTGCAGTTAGCAACTTACTTGAAACTTGAAGTTTTTATAGAGATGATCAAAATAACTACAGAAATTTGAATTCTAGATAAGTAAAGATAACTCGCTTCATTCTTTAGCATAATTACAGTTTATGTTATTAAGCTTTAAATCTTTTTTTTCTTTTTTTTTTTTTGTCAAAGGAAGTTTTTTTTTTTTTTTTTTTTTTTCATTGTAATATTTCTATGAGATATAACCCATTTGGATATTTACTACCTTTCATGGTTCACTAAGTAGGATATCACTAATGAAGCTGTATTCTGACAGGCCCTTAAATTAACGTCGGTATATATATGAAATACAAGCATGAAGTATATAAAGCACAATTGTTCTTTAGTGTTTATATTTGTCCACAGGTCTACTAGAATATAACACACTTAACTGAGGAATTCCTTTCATGAGCTGTAAATTTCAAGTTTTGACCTACTGACTTCATGATAAAGATAATTCTCCAGTGGGAATAAGATGGTCATCACATCTTAAAATAATGTCCAAGAGTCAAGGAAATGTCCTGGTTGGAGTAAACAAGTAGCTCATCCAGTCTGCCTTTCTGGCACCAAGAGTGGGTAAGACCAGATTTTTCAATGGAAAACATAAATCTTCACAATTTTAGTGTTTTCAACTGTATATTACTGTTTCCTACATTACCCACACTTTGAGACATAAAGATTAATAGATTTCTTAACTGTATTTCCATATACTCTGTTTATAGCATAAATCTTAAAATACATTTAAAAAAAAAAATCTATTGTATCAGTTTTGAGAACATAAGATTTTTGAGGTTTATTCTCAACTTGTGCAAAAACAACACCTCTCACCCCTTACATTTCCTTTACAATGAGATTAAAATTTCTGGATGTGGGAAAAATTATGTCAGTACGTTAAAATTTAATTTTGCTCAACATGAGAGCACCTTGTCAGGGAGAGAGGTGACCAAGCAATTGAGATGGTGGGTGCTGAGGGTACTGGGGCACTTTTTTCATCCTACTGCCTGAAGGTGTTCACCAAGAGCAATGCATGGAAGTCTTTCTGCTACTGTTGTTGAGCCACCGTGAAACACTGTGATTTTCCCCACCCATATATTTGCCAAGCTTGGTAAAAACTTTTATAGTCAAATGCACAAACCTTGTCCTGGGTTCCAAGCACACATTCAGTTGTGAACCCTTACATCTTCACTTGTGCAGTGACCATAGCAAGGTATTTTCATCTGGCAACAAACACTCAGAGCTGACCACCACTATCACCTTCTTAATTTTTGTTGATCAACTTTCTCTTTAATTTCCCAGACAATTACATCTATAATGAAGTATAGAATGCATAATGCCTCTAATGGCAACTTATCTGAAAGATCATGACTTTTAAATCAGAATCTTCCCATTTTTATTGTCCCAAATAGGAAGATATCTTTTTATATTATTATTATTATTAATAACAATAATTTTATTGATCTAATTTCTGGATAATATTATGAAAGTGGTGGAAAATAAGATGAAAATAGTATGTTGTCATGTTGTTGGTGGTACTAGAGGTGGCTCCACACACATTAGGTAGTAGACATGCAAAATTGTTTGCCAGGTTGTGTTGTAGATGCAAGAATTCTACAATGGCTCAAAAGGAGGCTGGTTAAGTACTTGAAAGTGATATCTAGTGGGGGTTACAAAAAGCTCAGAAAATCTTCTAAACTGAAAAGAGATGAAAAAAAAGAAAAGAAAAAGGGAGGATGGATAAAGGTAGAGAAACATCATATATGAATGCTCCATTCTTATTCTTCCTTAGTATTAATGTTGAAAGCAGACTACTAGATTGGATGAATCTTTGGTCATTGCAAACATGATTATATTTTCATTTAAGTAAGGAGATGTTGTCTAAGAGGGTTTTTCTGGAGTAAGATGAATGTTAAAAGTGGAGAAAATCCAACATTGTTTAAATGTAGAAAATTGGTAATGTGTTTTGTCCTACATATTGCTAAAGAAAACAAACTGAGAGGCAACATTAATGTTGAAAGAAGCTCAAATGTGATTACTTTTTCAGCTACTGAGTGTATGTGTTTGCAGTCTTGCCTTTATAGCTTTTCCATTTCATCTTATATTTCTGAGGAAGAGATTTGCAGTGTTTTCCTGGTGATTTCTCCTGGTAAATTTCCAAATACATACAGATGGACTTTTCTGCATTGCATTGCAACTTAGCTGCAAGTCTTCTATGTGCTGCTTTCCAAACCTGTAGCTAAACTTCAATACCGTAACTCACATTACAGTAATTACAGTACACATATGCTATCGACCAACAAAACCCAATCAGCTGCAGTAACTATATCTGCTAAAAAATGTCAGTCTTCTTCAGAAAGGAGATTGTTTTGTGGAGCAGTTAAAAGGGACGTGGTCAACTCATAGTTCATGAGTCAATTCAATGACTCATAATATTGAAATTCTTTTATTAAGCACACAAGGCATTTATTTTAATCTTGTTTTCATCTTTGGTCTCATCCGTTGTTGAGATTGGCCTTGCATGCTGAATTCTTATCTTTTTTTTATTATTATTATTTTATTTTTTGTGTGTTTTTTAAAATGTTTATACAAACACTTCTGAAAAACAAGAATATAGCTGAGGTGCCTCTAAATGAATAGAGATGCCAAGGTATGAGTGGGATTTTGAATTGACTCACTCTGCATGTCCTGACTGATACACCTGTGTTATAATTCCAAATGTCACTGCCAACAGACAACTTTCTTATCATATAAATTTGCCTTTGGCAGATTTCTTTTTTTGGGAAAAAAAGAAAGAAAAAAAAAGTATAAAATATGTTATTATAATGGGTGTTGTTATTATTGTTCTTATTATGTTAAGTGTTAATGATGATGGTAAAAACTGTGGTATAACTGTCCTTACTCCAAAAATTTCTCTACTTAATGTTAAGAATAAATAAAATATCTGCTGCAATGTTTTTCTCTGTGTATGTTAATGTTTTGGCAGACAATATCTGCCATTTGTATCAGCCATCTGAAATTACTGCTTGATGATTGCTAGAGTGAGAACAACCCACAAGCTTATAGATGCTCTGGAAACAGTCAAGAAAGTTCTATGACAAGGTATTTTTCCATGAAGTCCATCTGAAAAAAAATAATAAAAAAATCTTGCCTCCACCCAATTTCTTAATTATGCGATACAATAGTAGTTTAGCAGTAATTTTCTTGGTAGAAATTTTAAGTTGTCTTTGTTATTTCAAGATGATACTTTCAGTGTTTGTTTTAATGGCACTCCTGTCACCCTATGTCTCAATCACAGATCTTCAGATAAACAAAGCTCAAGTCTGCGTGCATGAGGCTATGATTTTTCTGGGTTCAGGAGAAATGTGACTATTCTGTGTGTCCTAGAAAAAGTCGTGAGACCTCATCCTGCACTGTATATTATGCAGAAAGAATTAGCAATGAGCTCTTTCTATGCCTCTGGAGGAACACAAAGCAGCTGCAGTGGAGCGAAGGGTCTAGACAGCTGATCTCATTGAGGATGGAGGACGGTCAGCACAACAGAAGAAATGTTCGATAGCTTGTCAATTCATGACCCTAAGGTCTAAGAGGCTTCCATTCCCTCAGACAAATGCTGATCCTATTAATATGAATGGTTGAACTTCATTTGACATCAGCCAGTCCTGGGTTTGAGTGCAAGTACATTATAGCCTATGAAATTAATGCAAGTCACATACCCGTACTGAGCAGACAAGGGAAACAGTTTCCAGCAGTCATTGATTCTTTGGCTTTTGCAGTGCTGTGTGAAGATGCTGAATTGTTTTTTTGCGTGAAGATGCTGAATTGTTTTTTTCCTCTGTAACTCTTCCATGCTTTAGCATCTTCAGGATATTTGCTGAATTTTGTAAAGTTCACCTTTACACTTATAAATAAACATATGCATTTATTTAAAACTTATATGTCATATCTGATAACTTATTAAACTCTGTAGAAAAGAGCATATCACATTTAAGGTAGTAACATGAATAACTATTAATTAATATAATTTGATTCCACATCTTATCCACTTCAAGTCCACCTATGATGGCTAATGAATACATTGCTATCCATGAAACTAGAATGATAATAATGCATTTCCTTTGCAAAGACTCAATAAAGTATGTGCTAGTTATTGAATATTTTGAATTAAAAATGAGAGATGTATCATATATACATTTTAAAAAATACATCTTTTTATTGTTTTATTTGCCTCTGGGCACAGGGATTTTGGTTTTGCGGTGCAGATCCAAAAAAAAAATAATCAAGTATTAGTTTGTCTAACAGGTTATTATTTTTTTTCCTTATTGTATAGGTGATTACTATTTAGTTTGATGGAGTGGACCAAAGCATGGACCAAGTTTCCTTTTGAATAGCCAGTTATAATAGTTGTTATGATGCTTCATTCTTACTGGTTCTAGTTTTCAGATTTTTTTTACAAAGAAATTGCACATCATACAGACAGTCCATGTACAGCTTTTGTATAATGCATGTTCATTTAGTTAGTAGTTATATTTGTAACTCCAGCTGCAGCCACCACTCTCTAAATCTGTCACTGAAGGATTTTGTTTTAAATTCTGCCTGGCTTTGTTTTCAGATGCTTCTGAATTCCTCCCTGTGTTGAGTCACAGCTGTGAAAAGAGAAATCTACCTCTAATTCAAAGGGTCAGTGGTTTAAAAGCACTAAAGCCCAGTGGGGAATAGCTTAAGGAAGATAGTTAATCATCATGATCCCAAGGGATTTAATAAACTTGCATCAGGCTCATTTGACATGAAGAGTCCTGGATGTCTTCAAGCCCTGGTTTCTTTGGGGAATGCCTGTTTTACCAAGGAATGGGATCCTCTATAGAACAAGCACCTGTGGTGGATGTTTGACACCTGTTCAGTTGTGGTTATGGAAACACAACTTAATCTTCTCCACCACGTCCCTATTCTAGCTAAAGCTGGCATTGAGGCCAAATCCTTTCTAGTCATTTTTCTTCCCACACCCCTAAGAAGCATTTAGTGTAGTAAGTACAGTGGCCTTCATTTCTTGATCTGTCTGGCAGATAATAGACTGAGAGAAAGGAGTTTCTAATTTAGGAAAAAAAAAAAAAAAAAAAAAAAAAGGAGTCAGGCTGGAATACACAGCTGATATTTTCTCTTCTGGGTGAGCAAAGATTGTTGGTATTGTTTGAATGTCACCTGTCCATACAGTGGTATTTCTCACAGCTTCCTCTTCTAGCTCCAAAGGAGGAACCCTGGAAGAAATCCCCTTCTCATCTGTTCAGTGCAGACAAAAGCATTATCTCAAATACAGAGTCAATATTTTAAGATTTTATTCTGGTGCTAGGTTCTCATGGGATGGGCAAGCCAGGACTGTTTATGTGAACAATATCTAGCGTTCTTGAGGTATTGGATTAAGTTGTATAGCTAATGTGGTTTCTATACCCATTCTGTGTGTACTTAATACATCTTGTGTGCATTGCTGTTCTTGATACAGGGATCGTGATCTGCTTGTGAATCAGCTCTTGAATGATTGCTGCTTTCAGACAGTTTCATAGAAGGAAAGACTTTCTGAATTCATA